CAGCCTCTCCAACATTTGTTGTTGGGTGATTTCTTTATGATAGCCATTCTTTCTGGGGTGAGATGATATCTCAATGTTGTTTTAATTTGCATTTCATGGATGGCTAGTGACATGGTGCTACATTTGACCTTTCAGCTTTAAACCTTATGTGTTAATTTTACACTATGAAAATGAGAATTTTTAAAATCAACTCTTCCCACTCCTAAAATATATGGAAATATTCCCATTTTTCTCATGCAACAATATCACAATTTTATTAAATAGATATTCAGTGCTGAAGCCTGAAGCTGGACATGGTGGCATGTGCCTACAATGCCATCTGTTCAGAAGGCTGAGGCAGGAGGATTGCTTGAGTCTAGGGGTTTGAGACTAGTCCATGAGAGAACCCCATTTCAAACAGAAACAAAAATAAAACCCAGCTCTGCATCCAACCAAAGTTGAACCATGTTTTATGCTATGATTGCTTTTCCTACATACCATTCTGTTTTCTAGTCAGAAAATTTAGTCAATTACTAAATTGTTCCTTTCTTGTTTAGTGGTTTAATTTTCAATGGTTTACCTCATTAATTTAGTCTCTGTTTTCCTGATCACCTAAATTTTGACTCAGTGAACCCAGTTATTTTCTCAATACGGTAAGACTCATTTATTTTTGGACCTTTAGGACTTATCCAACGTGGACTGGTTTCTGTACAGCAGTGCTGGGCATCACCCTTAAATCTCCCTTCACACTCATGCAGGGGATTCTCTTTTGCTACTGGATATCCTATCTCCTGTGCATCCTCTTTTTTCTTTTTACTATATGAATTGCTTATTGTCTCAGTTGCTCTTCTCTTATTGCTGGGACAAATACCTGACACCTGAAATGAAGGAAGGAATGGTTTATTTAGCTCATAGTTACTGGAGATTTCAGTCCATACTCAACTGGCTCCAAGGCAAAGTGGCATATGGCAGAGAGCAACCTTTCACAGTGTTGGCAAAGAGCAAGAGAACAAAGGGAGAAGGAGCAGCAACAAGGGCAACAGAGAGGAAGTCTTTCACCTCCTTATCTGCCCCAGGCTGGGTGTACCACTCACACCCATAATCCCAGCAGTACTCAGACCCATAATCCCAGTGGACCATGAGTTAATCACAAACTCTAGAAGTCCCTGCCCCATGACTGCATGAGGCTTTGGGGGTACATCTAGACACAAACATAACACTTAATTAATTAATTAATTTTACCAACTGTCCTCCATCTCTAGAAGTGATAGCACCCTGCTCAAATATATCCAGTGCCCCTTAGTCAAGAATAAACCTCTGAATGTTCATCACTCATCATTCATCACTGGTCAATCTCAGCAAATTAAAATGATGCTGAGATTCCATCTCACTCCAAAAAGGATGGTCATTATCAAGAAATCAATCAATAACAAATGCAGGCAAGGCAATGGGAAGAAAGGAACCCTTCTTCAGTGTTGGTGAGAGTGCAGACTGGTACAACCATTGTGGAAATCCTTAAAAACAACAACAACAACAACAACCACCCCAAAACTAAAGGTCCCATTCAACATAGCTATTCCTCTTCTTTGTATCTTCCTGAAATAATTAAAACATCATACCATAGTCACATACTCATCTTTATAGATGATATATACATAGATACATACTCATCTTTATAGCAGCATAAGTGATAATAGCTGAATCTTAGAAATGGGCCCACTATCCATCATCTGATGATAAAGAAGATGTGTGGATTTTTTGTACGATGGAGTACTACTCAGTCATAAAGGATAAACTTGAGACATTTAAAGGTAAATGAATGGTTCTTGAGACCATACTTTTAAGTGAAATAAATCTAACACACATGTGTAAATGTTCCTCTAGTGTGTAAATCTGAACCTAAAGTGTAAATAAGGACCAGAATATATATGAGACAATATGAAATAGGAAGAAAATGTTCAATTGGGAAGATGAACTAGGGAGAGGAGAGGGGGAAAAGGAAGACAGGAAAAAGAAAAAAAAAGGGAAAAGAGGGAGAAGTGGAAACAAAATTTGGTAAATAAGGAGGCAAAGAGGGGTTAAAGGGAGGACGGAGGAAGGAAGGGTGAAAGAAATCGAGATGAGTCACATACAGGTGCAAAGTTCCTAGGATGAAAGCCATCATTGTGTACATTTAAAATGTATCAATCAACTTCATCAAAAAATGAACCTCTCTCTGTGCACCGATGCTGGAAGGACAGGCTGCACTGCTGACACGCAGGCAGATCCCAGGACTTCACCTGAACTGATTTCCAGTTCAGGCTGCGGTTTTGGTTCCTCTTCACGCTGACTTCCAGCGGTGCCTGGTGTTCAAAGGTGCTAGTGTTTTGCATGTTCTGTGCAGCAAAATCAGATTGATTGTTAGTAGTTCTCAATTAACTTGCCTCCTGCTTGATGAGCATTTGATATTTGTTGCTATTAAAATAATTCCCGCTCTTTTCATTTGGTGAGTCTTACATATTTAAAAAAAAATTAAAAATCTATCATTTTTGCTGGGTTTCAGGAAAAAGCTTATTTTTAATATACTATCTTTAACTAAGAGTGCCAGATGGCTTTTGAAAACACACAAAAATGATTGCTATTCTAATTTTTAAAGCACTCAATATTTATTTAGATTTACCAGCATTTTAAGACAATTATTTTGCATACTGTTGCTTCTTTATTTTATTCATTCCTTCTGGATTCATTTCTTTCTTACTTAGTAGTTCTTTTTGTAAGAGACTATTGGCAGTAAATGTCTAAGCATTTGAATGTCCTCAAATTGCTAACTTTTCCTGACTGGTAAATGAGACTTTGAATTTAGAAATTTACTTTTCTTATTTTGTTTCTTCATCACATGGATGATCTTTCTTCATTGTCTTCCTGCATTTATTTTTGCTGATGAGAAGATTATTTTTGAGTTTGTGCCATTTCTTTATTGTATGTTGTCTTTTCTCTTTCTTGGTGTAGAGTGCTGGTTTTCCAAACATCTTCAGAATAACCTCTCTAAAACCTCAGTTATACCTGAGTTCAGGTTTTAACTCAAAATTAAGTGTGACAGAATGCTAACTTGGTAGGTAGCATTTCTGAGAAAAAACTACAAGGGCTGATTAGTGAGGTTGTGAAGTTTGTTTTAATTCAGGTCTTTCATTGCAGGGATTTGGTTAGAGTTGGGTTATTACCATGATATAATAATTTAGGATTCATGGGAACACCAAGGTGACATTTTTTTTTTTTTTCAGAGCTGAGGATTGAACTCAGGCCCTTGCACTTGCCTGGCAAGCGCTTATTCTACAGAGCCATCTCCCCAGCAAAGGTGACAATTTTGAGATGGGGAGCTCAGAGTCTTGGCGTGTAAACTATATATAAGTTGATTTTTTTTTAGAATTGCTGTGAATAAGCTCCTGTGATGAACAATGAAGCCATTTGCAAATTTGCCTTCTCAGACAAATCTCTTGGGAAAGCAAGGTTACACTAATGAGGGCGATGGCCTGCTGGGGCTCTGTCTGTGCCAGTGCAAACAGCAAGCTGGGTAAGAGTAGATAGCTTTGGTTTTCCATGATCTGCCTCTGGTTATTTTCAACCTGAGCTGGAGTGTGATCCACTCAGGTCTCTACTGCCATTTGAACTATCACGTTCCTGGCAGTGGATTGATGATCTCCGAGGTCCTGAGCGTTTGGCTTCAGCTTTTATAAGCATCGCTTTTTCCTGCTCTTTTTGTTACAGAGTTATTTTTTGCATTGAGGCACAGTTGTTCTGTCTTGGAGACTGCCTCTCTGAATGTCCCAACATGGATAGATTAAGAGAAGAATCATGATAAAAGCTTGTAGTCTACTTCTCAGACAGAGATCTAGACTTGGGCGTCATATTTGTAGACCCATGGGCTGGCCAGTTACTAATGCCTGGGCAGAGTCGGTAAGCCTCAGAAGTAGATGAATTCATTATTACTAATACCACTACCTTAGCCATGGAAATTGAAGAGTCTCCAAGAATTTTGCTGATTTGAGTTTTGAAATTCTATTTGTGTTTCTTTTCTGAATACTGGGGTTGATATGGACAGAGATGTGAGTGTGGCAGGGTTTTGACAAAAATTTTAATGACAATTCCAGAAAATGAATGCCTGCATCACTAGAAAGATAGGTTGAAGGATTCTTTCAGTTGAAAATGCGTTTCAAGTCTTTTTTTCTCTGCAAATTTCTCTGGTTCTCAACTAAGAGTGAGATAAATGCTTACAATCAACTATAAGAGACTTTCCTTGTTTAAGGACAAGTTTAACTTTAAGAATTGGATTTTGAGAGTGTTTGACTGCCCAGAGAGGAAAAGGAATAGATCAGAGTCAGAGACTAGGAGAGAAAGAAGCTGAGGGACACGGGATTCAGGATGAGAAATAATAAAGGCAATTAGGTTTGGAGGTACGACTCGGGCATCTACAGCAGAGGTTTTAAAAAAGTTTTTCATTTTCTTTTTAAACTGGCATAAGGAAGAGGGTTTGGAATCTGAATTTCTTTCTTTCTTTCTTTCTTTCTTTCTTTCTTTCTTTCTTTCTTTCTTTCTTTCTTTCT